CCCCAAAACCCCAAAACCCCAAAACCCCAAAACCCCGATTTAAAATCTTTTTATTGAAGCACCATTATAAAAATGCTATTTTTAGGACTACTCTTCGGAGTATTTTCTTCTTGATTTGATGCTATGGGCTTTGTCATTCAGAAAAAGGGGCATGTACTAGCAGCAGAGAAAGGTATCAAATACCTCAAACACCCAGTATGGATTCTAGGAATGGTAATTCAGATCTTGGCCAATCCGTTCTTACTAGTTGCTCTTAACCTGTCATCTCAAAGTGCTCTGTCATTTATTCCAGCTCTTGCCATAATTAACATTGTCATATGGTCAAGAGTCATTTTAGGAGTCAAGATCACCAAGTACGACTGATTTGCTCTCTCTTTCCTAATCCCAGGGATTGCGCTGATAATCACCTCTAGTCGAGTGAAGAAAATTGACCTCCTTTCTTGGGAAGTTGGGAACTACCTTTTTTCGACCCAGACAATAGTCTACGTCATGATTATGCTCGCCCTCTTCATAGGCTTTGGAGTACTTACCTATACCATACTTGTGAGTTTCAACAAGATGATTAAGGAGTTCATCAAGGACACTGAAACTAGTGGTGAAGACGACCAAAACTCTCCTAAAAAGCCAGACATACTTGAGCAGCAAAATATCATGATCCCTTTGATTTTTCTTCCTTTCTTCGCAGGATTTACAGCCACATTCTCAAATACGGTGGCTAAACTGAATATGAATGTTTTTCATGACGATATTTTGAATCATCAAGATGGAGATCCAAGGCTTGGATGGCCAGAAACCATATCTTTAGTCTTGTTCAACATCTTTTTAATCTGGAGCAACCTCTTTTTACTCAGCAAGTGAATCCAGTACTTTGAACCAATTTATATAATCCCTATGAAGAAGGTGGCCTTGCTCACCAACAACATTTTATGAGGAGGCATCATCCTAGACGAATTTAAAGAATTTGACAGTTACATGATCACAGGAGTAATCTGTGGTGCCTTTCTATGCACCGTTGGGGTCTCCTTTTTCATCCTCAAGAGGCTCAAACATGTAAGTCGCATCAATAAATTCAACTAACTTATATAGATAAAAGCCTTAAAAGTACAAAACATAATGAGGCAAACAGAGCTAGTGGAGTCATCTGAGAGGACGCCGACACCTGATCTCAAACTTGACAAGTCAAATATTTAGTACTGGAAAGGTGCTTTTCACGGATAATTTTAGGAGTCACCAGCAGACCTCTCTGCTTATGTCATTAATGTAAAATTTTCCATTCCAATTATAAGTGTTCAAAAGGGGTTTTGGGGTTTTGGGGTTTTGGGGTTTTGGGG